TGGGGAGAAATAATGAAAACTGACCGTTCTAGCTCATCTAGACGCGTTGGACCAGCACCACTGCGAGGCTGACTAACGCTTGGATAAATGCCTAAGCGGGCTGAAATACAAACAGCTTCCGACATTTTCCAAGCGCTATAAATGCGAGCTCGAAAGATAACAAACATTATGAACATGTAAAAGAATCTGTAGAAGAAAGGCTGCAAGAAAAATTCATCCGTACGAACATACTGAAAATATAAAATAAGAGAAAGGAGTACTGGTTAAATTAAGTTACTAAAAAAAATTATTAATGTACATGGACTTTAACAAACTGAAAATATGTCAAAATGACAGTTTAAGTGCTCGGCCATGCTTCAGAACTTAACATATATTCAGGATCATAGAGCTCAGAATAAACCTTGAACTAATTATTAAGATACTTTGTAAAGCAAATTTACTAATTCGGTTTACAAAAGACCCGTTTCTGCTAATTACAATCATTAGAACTAGAATAATTAAGCCTATTTTCAAATCTAGATTAAAGAATTACACTAACCAATGCATTAAAAGCAGAACAAGCGCCCGTGTAATTAAAATAAAACGAGTTATATATCAAATAAAATAAGTTAATACAGTATATTCTTTCCATGTCATAAGAATCAAGAAAATGGGCCCCAAAGAGATGGCAATGATATTCGTTTTAATCGTACGATATAAATTATTAATTGTTAGACCAACAAAAATTGATGATCTCTGTTTAGAAGCGGAAAGGTGTCACAATGTAGGTAAAAAGGCATATAATAGTATAAATAAAACAGTGGCAGAGCATCCAAAAACAAAATTCAAATGATCGCACGGCTCGATCTAGCATATAGACTATATATCTGTTTTAATAAATTATCCGGATGATAGTCATAAGCAAAATTTCAAAGTGATGAGCTTTTTATCTATTAAAAATACAGGATGAAATACAAAATAAGTGGGATTGGCATTGGATGAAGAATACCTCAATTTATGGTGTAATTCAAAATGTAATAAAATATAACACAAAGAATTTTAAGCTGTAATTAATAAAATAGATGTGAATTCAATCTAATAAGGCCACTTACATCAATATAATAAAAATGGGATACAATGAGATATACAATACCAAATAATGAGGCCTCCTGAAGCCTGCTTTGGAGAGGTGCATTTGAGGGCTCCTGAGCTCCGAGCGGCCATTCACACATATCTTGAAAAGTTCTATACTTGAAATAAGGACCTAAAACGCAAGTTAAAGAGCAGCAGTTAGTTTCATGGATCGGATTAATCGTAAGTAAAAGCAAAGATTACCGGTAAAAAGGCCTATGTAACAATAAGAGTAGCAAAATATATCGAAAACATTCAGAGAAATACAACAAAACTTTTCTCTAAGCTTGAGCTCAGGCCACTCGGCACATTTACGATCCATCTTTTCAAGTTTAGACAAGATGAGCCATGAGTCGTGAAGTTCAAATCCCAAGCCAATTAGCTGTTTATTTCATAAATTACTAAACAAACTTACCCTCAAAGTCAATAATAGTTGGAGTGCATTCGTATGTGGAGTCGGTATTTCATGGCCAAATAGATATGAGGTTCTAAAGTAGCCGAGGTAACCAAAGCACCATATGAAGGAAGCAATATGAATAAATCTAAAACCAATAAAAAAAATTAATTTGCCTTTCTTTAAATATTCCGAAAAGTATAATGAATCCAAAGAGCGTAGAGAGAGAGTGAACAATGAAATGCCTACAAACAACTAAAGCCATACATATTCCAATAACGAATGAAACTGGCTTCTTCGAATTCCCTCTTGCGTAGCATATCAGAGGACCACATAGTAGAGAAATGAGTAAGGAAATTACATATATGAGATCATCCAAGGTCATAACTAGAACTGAGGGGGAGGGTCATAACGCAGAAACGAAAAGAGCGGTGCGAGTACCAGGTAAATTTTTCGTGATAATTTGAAAGTATAGTTTACACAAAAGTTTTATTTAATATTAAAAATATATAATTAATATTAAATATTTTTATATGACATATTTTTATTTAAGTTGTTTAACCTTTTAGATTCTGTAGGCTATCTAGATTTAGCGTTATCTCGTTATGCAGCGCGTCGTTTTATCTGTCTTGCTCGTATTATTACTTTCATTAATAGCAATTTTAGCATCCTCTTCAAGTAAAATTTATGTTATAATATGTATTTTTAGATGATTTAATTGTCTTGACTGTTGCTACTAATAATAATGATGCCTTAATCCGTTTCAAGAGGTCGAGTAGTATATTTGGATATGCAGTAAAGGTAAACCAACAAATTTGTTTATTTTAGGTCCTCGGATTTGGCATAGAATGGAAAGGTGGAGACGTTGAAAAATCATTGGGTGGAGGTCAAAAAGTTAACTTACTTCGTCAGGAGTTGAAATCTCTTCATAGTGATCAATTAATCTTATTCACAGACAGGTTTGTAAGCGTTACATGATTATATATATTATCGTTAGAATAACCAAAAAGCTTATTATGTGATGTTACTGCTTTATCTGACAATATGAAGTAAAACCATTTGTGTAATAATTTGACTATAATAGTAAAGAATGCTTAATCCACCATCCGTAAATTATTCTGGAAGCAATGCAAACATAATTTAAACAGTATGTATTTCGGTGTTTAAGTTTTAAAAAGAAATGAAATCGAATTATATATGTCAATTCGTAATATATACTTTATTTTTTTAATATTTGCTAATTATTTTAAGAAGACATTTATTTTAGAATGTTGATTTTTTTCTCTAATAATTAAAACATCACTGCTATTTTTAAAATAAAAGTATTAATTATTGGCAATAGTTATGATTAAATTATATAATGCACCTTATAAAACATGATTACGCACTTTTAAAGGTTACAATAAACTTCTATCTTGGCTATAACAGTGAACTATTTTCTCAAATATCTCGAGTTGTGATTTCAATTTCAATTTAGTTTTGGGTATTAATCTCGGTAGGTGATTTGTATTCAAAAATCTAAAGCGAGGAATATGGATTCATAGTTGAATATTTCCTTGCAAACCATTATTTACGCAGGTTATTGTTTTC